AAATACGCAAGTTTTCAGCTGCCAATAAAGTATGAATGGGAGATGTGACAAAACAATTACAAGGATTAATCATTCCTGAGCAAAGACTTATTGCTCTCTACCAACACAACAGCTGCATTGTGAAATTATATTCGTCTTTTCATTCGATAAGCATAGCTCAATCAACTTTAAAAAGCAACTGCATAAGCTTTCCTCAAGATGTTATTAACGTAGCTACTACCCTGCCGTTAGAATTAGATGATCTATGTGACTCTCTAAAAATTATTTTTGTTAATTGTTGCACTCCACAAAGAAGTCAACTAAAAAATATTTTGACTATTCGAAAAACCAAGGTTTCTGATGCACTTAAATGACTTAGTCCAAACAATTTACTCCATCGATATGTTACAATTAATCAATCAACAAATTACTTGAGAATGATGTCCCGGAGTGTTCCTGGGCAACAATGGAAAATTCCACTAAGGTAGAAGCGATTGAAAATGAAAGGATAACTTATAGTTTTAACCCTCTGATCAATGCATCTGAGTCCAACACCACAACAGCTATACCAATAATTGTGAGGTAAAACAAAAAGGCATTGATATTTGTATCTACCGTTATTTGTGTTGTAGTACTATCTTGCATGTTAATGGTACCAAAATTTCGTCTGATGACGTTGTTGAACATCTTTTAGAATGAATAAAAGTACAAATGGATGATAAAACGCTGAAAAAAGACATCGAGAAAAACATTGAACAAGATAATGTGTACATAATTCCTCGTGGTAACAAACTGGTCAATGAATATTCTAATCCAAATCTTTTATTGGGTATCTTTCCTACATTTTTTCCGTATGGATGTGATACACTTGAAGATTACTCTCGATCGGTCCAAATTAATTTTCGTGAGCATCTCGGATATCTTCTTTCGTACGGCGATCGCCGTTTAGAAGAACATTACTCATTCATGTTTGTTGTCTTCAATATTTTACAACGCCGAATCGCGTGCTTCCATGCCCAATTAATGACATCAAGGCTGTACTTTCAGCAGTCCGCACAACTTCTTGAATTATTGAGTTCTGAAGATGTAACAACGGCCCTTGTCAACATCTCAAAAGCGTCTTATTCCAAAATTACTAATGAAAGAATAAATACGCTCATGAAGCATATCAAAGTAGTTGGTGGTCATGTTATAGATTCAGTTCATTCACGGTCGCCTCTTCGTACGAAAATTTATTCTTTGTGTTTTAATCTCAGTCTTCCAACTCTCTTTCTACCAATCAATCCAGCCAACATACATAGTCCAGTGGCACTTTATTTTGCAGGCGTTGATCTAGATCTTGACAAAGTTCTGCCAGAAGTGTTGGGGACAAGTTATGAACATGCTCAAATTATCGCAACACATTCTGTTGCTACTGCGAAATTCTTTAACTGTTTAATAAAAAGCATTTTGAAAAGTCTTGTGCTCGGTAGTGTACTTGTTCCTACAAAAGCATATTTCGGCACTGTCGAAAATCAAGGCAGAGACTCGCTTCACTTTACACCTTCAAATTTGGCTCAATCATGAGTTTACTCCAGCACAATTAAAAGAAAAGGTTCAAAACCAAGATTTTCGTGAAAATTTACTTAAATATTCAGAAGATGTTGTAAAAGAAGATTTAGATTTATTTCGAGGTAGTACATTTGGTACCGTTCGAATTTGTGATTTGAAGTATTCACATTTGCCTATTTGACGAAATTTTATACCCTGAGAATACGTTATCGTTGCTTTAGCCTAGAGTTGAGCTTTCAACTAATTCTCAATAATCTAAAATGTGTTTAATTCGAATTGCAGATTCTTAGTAACCACAATAACTGCGTTAGAACATTTGTACTTTTAAATTTGACCATTCTTTTTAAAGATGAAAGTGACGATCGAACCAGTACAGCAAGCGATAACAGTGCATTAATTCATGAGTTTGTAGCTTTTAGTATATCCTTAATTTTGCTTTTGTCTTGATTTTAGAAGAAACTGGGCCGATAACGAATGAAGTTGTACCGACCTGTCTACTCACGTTAAATCCTGTGTTAGATGACTTCCATCGTATTTTTCGCAAAGATATAGTGAGATTAGTCGAAACATGCAATATTCACGAGCATTCTGCAATGTGTTACAAGTACTCGAAGGGCAAGTCCAATGGTTCTAAAGTTTGTCGATTGTGTATGCCACGTGTACTCGTGAAGACTTCCAACATCGATCCTTCTATAGGTCAGATAACTATGCATCGATCACATCCGTGGATCGACAACTTCAATGAATGACTCTTAAATGCTTGCCGATCCAAAATGGATATTAAATTCATCTAGAATGGGAACGACACTAAAGCTTTAGGGTACTATATAACTGATTATGTAACAGAGTCGACTCTAGCCTTCTATGATATGTTTGCCCTTACACAGCAAGGAGTCAAATCTATTGAGCAGCAGCAAGTTGGTAGTAAAAAGTTTTAAAAATGATTACATAGATATTTAATAAGCAATTTTTCTAGAGATCCTAACGTTCTTCTATGATGAACAAGGTGAGGATACAAAAGAAACTGAAGAACAGTTTCTATTAGAGCCAACAAAAATCAAAAGCAGTGATGGGTATGTCATGATAAACACTCGTCTGGACTATTAGCATTGATCAAAAGATCTAAGTGCATTATGCTTATATGATTTTATCAGCCATTTTCCCAAGAAGGTTATTGACAAATCAGACCGCCTTTTACTAAAGAATGAAAATGGGCATGAAGGCGAACGATTATATACCGAAGGAACAAAAATAAACGAACGAAACACATTTAAAAGTGTACACCTACAATGATCATTACATATCATCATTAAACGTACCACTCCAGTGTTACCAGTTCTGCTTGGTCCTCCAATACCCCATCGCGAACGAGAAGAAACACACGAGCGTTATTGTCGTGCATTGCTAACTTTATTCGTGCCATGGAGATCAGTCCACGATCTTTGTACACTAAATCAGACATGGTCTGAGGCACTGGAAGTTCGAAAACAATTGATCTCTTCTAGTTCACTCAAAATTATAGAAAATATACAAATTTTGCATGAATGTAAGCACAATCGAGATGAGTATCTTCATCAAGTTCTTCTAGAAGCACAAAATGACAGCAGCAGTGATCCTATTCTGATCCCTAACTCTTATGAAGAAGATCAAAATACTGAAGAAGACGATCTTGAACAGCTTTTGCAAATGCTTTCCATTGTAAATGAGATCATCACAAATACTTACTCGGCATTGACAGTTACTCACGAACAACGCTATGTTCATGATGCATTACAAGCAATTGATAATACAGATAGATTTCCATTACTCAATGGTGACTTAATTACTACCATATTCCGAAAATATTTTGTTTGATTTAGGCCGTACACGTTCTCCGGGCGAAAATAATTATGGTGCCATACACGACGTCCACACATTTGCCGTAGCTCGCGAGCATCATACGACCATGATTAAAGAATGGAAACATGATATTGAAGCCCGACGAGATGAAACAAGAAACTATTTAATTTTAGGCCAAGATACTCTGGAAGTACGAGATGATGAAACACAGATTGAGATCGTAGGTACTGAAATTCCAACAAACCCAATTAAAACGAAAGTTACGAGAATCTCACCTGTGACTGCAATCAATGCGGTTATATTTCCCACAAAACAGGATATCGTCAAACAATTTACGCTAAATATACAGCAAAAATATGCTTTTATGATTGTTACTAGTCACTTAGAGTGCGAACATTATACCTATACCGGTATGTTATCTCGATTTTGTTGTTGTAAGGTTTAGTTAGTCTTGATATTTAGGTACTATCGATAATCAGTTATTAATGTGTATATTTGGGTGTGGTAGCACTGGAAAATCTCAGTTGATTCGTGCACTCACCACGTATTTCCAACTAACAAAACGAGGTAAGATGTTGCGTAAACTGGCGCCAACGTCTATAGCAGCAGTTGAGATTGATGGAATAGCTATCCATTCATTTTTAGGTGAAAATCACAAAAACTATAAAAAGAAACAAACCCGTACATTTAGACTTGGTGATATGAAATTAGAAAATGAATGGCGTCATGCGAAGTACTTGATAATCGATGAGATGAGTATGGTAGGACTTAGCCTATTAGCTCGTCTCAATCGAATAGTGAAAACAGCCAAGCACGTAAATTCTGAGATACCTTTTGGTGGTGTCAACGTCATTTTCTTTGGCGACTACCTTCAATATTCTCCTGTTTTGGACAAGCCTCTCTACTGTAGCAGCGCACCGACACAGCAAGTTACAGAACGTCAGATAGATATGATGTGTGCACAGAAGCTTATGTCTGAAATAAACTGCGTTGTTGAATTAACTCAGCAAATGCGAACCGAAGACAAAAGATATTTGGAGCTTTTAAATAGATTAAGACATGGAAAATCGACAATAGAAGATTACCAACTTCTGTGTACGAGAGTCATAGGAAATCCAAAACTTCAAGTGTCTCTACAACAAAAGCCATGGAACGAAGTATGCACATTCATTTTCTCTGTGTGTCACATTACTTTTCTTTTAATAGGCTCCAATACTAGTTTTTTGGAATACACTACTCACTCAAATTAACAATAGGGCTGTCTTAAACAAAACAATTAAAATGGGACTCACTCCAATTGTTTGTATTATTCAAGATTATATTCAAGGAAGATCTGTGGATGATATACGATTACGTCAAGCAATACTTGAACTACCTGATAATAAAACAGAACATCTTCCAGGCTATTTACCTCTCGTACCAGGAATGCCAGTTTTACTCACAGAAAACGTCGCTACTGAACTCGGACTCTCCAATGGTACACGTGGAATGTTTCGTCAACTTGTATACGATGAATCACTAGAAGATGTTCGATACCAGGATAAGAATTTTCTACCAAATACCAAGTTTATAACGCAACCAAAGTATGCTTTAGTAGAATTTCCTGGTTGCAAACTTGATGACAAACTTGCTGAATTGCAGTCCAAAATAGTTCCTATAGCTATTAGTGAACAAACATTTTTGTTTGATGCCAAGGAACTT